ATGTGCATAACTGCGACCAAGTTTTGTGCAGTGCTACGGGGTGAATGTGGCATCAAAGATTGTTAGCTTGGTTTGTGTGGAGAAATGCAAATGGACATTTTTTGTGATGCTTCTAAGATCATTTAAAATTATTTGACAAGTGCTTTGAACGGCAGTTAACCTCCTTCTGACCTGCATGTGTCCTGCTTCAAGTGGGTTTTGCATTCACATAGACTTGCATTGCTGACGAAGCTAAGCAGGTGATATCATCACACTATTACATGATCTCGTACATACGTAGCGACTTGCCCAGAACCTATGGCAAGTGAGGGTAAATAGCCGGTGTTGTTGAGGTAGGACAGGCGGTATGAAATGTTTGCCTTGAAACCTGATCCCTTCTATCATAGTTCTGTGTGTACTATTTTAATGTAAGCATATAGTGAGTGGCGTTAGATTTCTGTTTCATTCAAGCAGTAATACGCTATCGGATTGCTTTCTGCATTTTATGTACCTAAACACTGAGAAGTTTATGGATATGTGTAGGATTTCCTTTTATGATCATTTCATATTTGGAGATCATTGTTTAGATGCATACAATCTGTATCTAATGTAAAAATCTAGTGCCGTCCGTCCGTTTTTCTACTACGGGCGGACGGCAAGAGGTTAATGATATGCACTCTTAAGGAAATCCCGTGATCGTACGATAATCGCAGTGTATGGAAGGCGTGCGACCGTTTCTACTGTACGGTCGCACGTCTTCCGTCGAACAAGCAGGCTTGAAAGGGTTAGTGGCCTGCTTGTTCGACAACTGCCGAATGGGCCGGTGTGCCCACACGCACACTGCCCGTTTGCACGCAGGGGGGCGGGCTTGCGATAATCGCAAGTACGATCTGCCTGTCCAAGATGGGCAGATCGTACAAGCTTTTAATTAGCTTACAACCATCGCAAGACTAAAGTCTAGCGATGGTTGTAAGGTGTATGGGCACCTTTTAGACCTTTATAATCTGAGATTCATCTCCTTTGGTGAGTGTACTTTCCTGAAGGTCTTGGTGTGTGAACACAATAGGAGCATATTTTTTTAAGTTTTAGTCTTGACACTGTTTTGTTTTGGGACTGTTATACAAGAAATTTAATTTTCACAGCTACTTTATTTATATTGTTGGTGTGTGTATGTATGTTTTATAGGTTTAGTATGTTTATATGCATACATGTAATCTCACCCAATGCCTGCCCACACT